AGGTGTCTCAAAGCCGTCATTGACCCTGAAGACGGCCACTAGGGATATGCCTATGCATGGCTGCCGTCGTCGCAACATTCCCTTCCAGGCTTCTGCTGCATGTCTCAAGTCTTCTTCATCCTCGGTCGTTGCCGGGGGGTTCCAGAACTTCCAGGTTCTTGTGGGGGGAACCTGGTGCCATGGGGTCCCAGCCTTCGGGGCTATTCGGGTCGCATTGTTCCTGAACTGGGCCGTATCCAAGTCTCTAAAGATGCGAAATGTCAATTCCCAGTGTCCACGGCGGGTTTGCTCAATGGGCCAAGGTCCTGAATCGCGGGGCCATCGGGGCTAAAACGCACATCCCCCGCCTTGACTCGACTGGCGCGCTTCTACACTACAGCCGCTTTTTACACTACAGGGGACATCGCGGGGGCACACAATGACACGAGACCCGGGCTGCCAGAAACGAAACGCGCGGGTCATCGGCCAAAACGCAGCGATTGAACGGACGAGATGATATCAACGGTTTCCTCTTTGCGCCTTTACTCGCGAACCATGTGCTCCTTCACATGCCAATGCAGCTCCGCCCAAGACCTTTGACACCCTATCATGTGTTCCGTCTACCTCAGCCAACAACCTGGTTCAGGACCTGTTCATGGGGGAAGTTTGTGTTTCTCCAACGGGAGACAAAATCATCACGGTTAACTATCGGTATTAGTTACGTTGCTCGTGTGATGACCGGAGAAAGTCGAAATACTCACTGTAGGCGCCGGCGATGCGTCTTCTGCCCTCAAACGCACTCCTACCGTGCATCACACGCCAGTTGTCAAAGACTGAAGACTGATTAGCATTTGTCCCGTCTCGTTTCAAGGCAAGACATGGCACCACTCACTCAAAACCTGGCCGGGCTTCAGTTGCCACCAAAATTCAACGTCGGATCTCCGGAGAATGGCATCCCACTTGCGCGCCGCCGCATACCACGCGGTCGGCGAGACGTCGTCGGTAAACGGCACCACGCCGCGGTCGTCATTATTCCACCGCACCCGCTGCAGCGTCCGCGTCTGCGGGTCAACCTCGAGCACGGGGTACCGCTTGTCGGGAGATATCGTGATGCCTTCGTTGCCGCTCGCGTGCCAGGGCAGGCGCACCTTGGAGAGGATCTCGTACGCGGCCGGGTCTTCCTTCTGCAGGATCTGCGCCGCGTAAAAGGCGTCCACGAGGAGCGATTCGCCTCCGAGCTTGCCGTCTTCGGGTAGCTGCTGTCCCGGCGGAGCCTCGTGGGAGAGCATGTGGAAGGCTTGCAGGCCGGCCGGGTCGGTGAAGTAGGTCGTGTCCGTGTGCGCCGGGAGGGCGATGTTGGTGTAGGCCGTGTCGGCCATGGCGAGGTCCGGGACGAAGTCGTAGAAGCCGCCGTAGTGCGTCTCACGGATGAAGGCGATTCTCTCGAGCACGCGCTGTGTTGGTTCCGGGGTGTCGTAGGGGGTTCCGTCTACGAAGGCGAAGCCGTACTCGCGCTGTGGGTGTCAGTTGACCTGTCATGCCCTGGTAGCAGAGGATTGGGCATGCTTACAATGAGGTTTGTCAACTCTGCGACGCCCGAGTCGTCCTTGTCGGTCATGAGGTGGTCGTACTCGACGACGGGGCGCCTTTCGCCCACGTCGGAGCCCCAGAAATGGTAGCTTGCGTGGAAGGTCAGTGACTTGGTGTGATGTGATGGTACGAGATTGCCCCTTACTTGACTTGTTCCGGACTGCGGTGGTCATGTTGCAGGTAGTGCTTGATAAAGTGCCATGGGTAGAAGCTTTCGTGGCCGTCTTGCTCCCCTAGTTGCGCATGACTGTCAAATCCATGTTTCTTTTACGAGAGTGTTAGAAGGGGAGGGGGGCTTGGGTGTTGCACCTACACGTCACCTTGATACCCTTTTCTTCCGACTTTATCTCGGAAGGTCCGATGTCTTGGCTAATCTACAGTTTCGTTCAACCAAATTGCCATTGTTAGTCGAGTTGGGGAACGGCATTTCTGAGGAGTGGGAGGGGAACGGGTTAGGTGATTTGAAGGTTGGGGGCCATGTTGCCAGCAGCAGCAGCAGCAGCAGCAGCAGCTAGGAGGCACGATGTGATCAAATGGAATAGGACAGATGGGGAGGGCTCACGGCGTATGTATCAAAGTTTCTTTGCGTGGTGTCTTGGTTCACGCATTTGCTGCATCGACAGTTGTCTCTGTGTGCCGGTGGGGTTGTGTCAGTTCGGCCGAGATGATGGATTTCTGGTGCTGAGGCTTGCTGATGCGGTTGGCGGAAACGTACCTGAGCCAGAAATGGGGGCTGCGCGTTGGGAGAGAGTTTGTGTTAGTTGAGGTGTGTGGAAGATGGTCACGTCATGGTGAGGACCGGCTAGTTGCGCCGGAGCCGGGCTCCGGAGCCGGAGCCGGAGTTGCGGCCAGGGGACCGGGGGAGCCGAGCGGGAAGACGGGGGACGGGAGACGGGGAAAGAAGGCCGGGGTTGTGATAAGGTAAGGTAGGTGCGGTGGGTTGGGTCAGGTTATGACCGGGACTTACAGCGTTGATCTACGGGTTGATACGCCCGTCAGCCCTTCGAATTGCACGCCTTCGGTAACGACCTTTGCGTTGAGCTGGCGGGCGGCGGCGGTTGCGGAGAGGTGTCTACTCGCGGATCCAAAGGTGCCACCACATGTGATGCGGCGGGGTGGTGCTCCGAATGCAGAAGCGGTACGCCTAGAACGGGGGAGTGAGACCTTCACGTGTCACACATGTGGACGATGACTGTACTACATACCTCGCGGCTCGGGGTGCGATGGTTCTCCAGGGGAGCATTTTGGAGACCTACAGACGAACTAAAGGGGGAAAAGAAGCACTCTAGAGCCCAATTGGGTGGTGAGGTTCAGGTCCTGTGGGATGGAACTCTGATAACGGGCCGAGAGGAGGGTGGGAGGGAAGATGTAGGATAAGGTAAGGTAAAGTTGGAGAGAATGAACTCTGGGAAATGGGAATTTGGAACCCGGGATGATTTTGGGTGGTTTGTCTGAGAAATGCGACGGAGGCGGGATCTCGCGGGGGATCGGGAGGGGCTCTGGCCTCTGGGGAAAGCTGAGAAAAGCCGAGAACAGGCGGGATTGGTACCGCTGGAGATGCTGTGGTTTTGGCACTAACATCAGCTGATTGCCCCTCCGTACTTACCGTACCCCTGTCCACTGCTTTGTTGCCATGCCCTGAGGATGGATTATGCCTCGGTCTAGCCAGTCGATTAGGTACCCGTTGAATAAAGCCTGGGCGGCCCCAAGCGGACATTTCGACTGTGGATGGGGTGAGTTGGGGAACAGGTACAAGAGTTCTGGCTGGAGTTCCTTGTGGGAAACATATCGTGGCATCTTGTGCTGCTCCCTCGGTGGACTGGTGCTCTCTCGCGTGTCATGATGGGCTACATCATGCCATCACTTGAGCCTCCACTGGTAGAGAGACTGCCTCATGGGGAATCCCTCGACAAGGTGGTAGGATATGCAGTCGCAGCTACAGCCTGGATTGACGCTCGAGTTAATGATGTTCCATATACCATGCCGTCTAGCTAAGTACATTCTAGGCGGCAGAAATGCTCCACGATCAATTCGTCCGATGGTCCTAGTGCAGCTTGCACAGGCTCCGGCCTCAACTTCGGCCTCAACTCCGGCTCCGGCTTCCGCTCCCGAGAGGTGAGACTCAGAGGGCCGGAGCAGCCCCCATCCGGCAGCGTAACTTCTGAGGAGAGACGCCGTCCCCGGGGAAAAGCGCGTCATTCGGGCAGTGTTGGACAGATGGCCGGCCTTCAGTCCGCCGCCATGACACAACCTCGCAGACGCTCATGGGCATAACCCAACATTTCGGCTCCCCCGATCAACGGCGTATCTTGCTTCGTCTTCCCGCCATACCACCTCCAGCGTTACCACTGCCAGACAATTTCGCCACGTCGTCAAGAGTATGCCTCGCTAGGCCCAACCGCGTTTGATCGCCCTTCGTCCAGACCGTCTTTCGAGGCCCTCTCTCACAGGTTACACGCCTTCCAAATCCCGGACAGGTGGGATTTCGCCCAGAGGGTCCAAACACCATAGCCGCCGTGACCGTTCTCCCGGGACACCTATTCCCACCTGCCTCATCGACAACCACCCGATTTTCGGGTCCTATCATCACCATTGTGGCATCCGGGTCCTGTACCCAGACCCTCTCAAGAAAAGGACAAGGAACAACAAGCGCCAGACTGCCACAATCGGCCTTCAGGTCAACCTCCTTACCCGTTCTGGCCATGTCTTGAGACGTTGCAGGGTGCAGATTGCAGCAGACCCTCATGGCCGTCCACTCACATGACCTAGACGGCGCCGACAGAACGGTAAATCGGAAATTCTTCCTCCTTTCTTTGCTGTGTTGTCTCCTGCAGGTTGGCGTTTGCTGCTGTTGGAGCGGCGTTGGGGATTTGTAAAGTGTTCGCGCGTAGACGGCTCGTGTGATTGGTCGCGCTTGGCGACGACGAGGACCGAACGTCGAAACCCCCCCATCATCGCGGCAGAGCATGTTCTGCGGTTGGTTCAATTGTTAGTTCTAACCAACGGCGTCTTTTAGTTTGCTTGTCTTGGCTGTTGTAGACGAGGCACTGATATACCGCGATGTCCTCTACATGTATGTTCCGGCCGAGTGGCTTTTCCTTGAGTTGATGGTCTCTGTCTTGGTTGGATTCCCTTTGTTATTACGATCTGTCTACCATTCTACATCTCTTTGATTCACTACAACTGCTCTCTTTTGGGAATCCTCTTATAATCTTTGCATAAACAACATGGCCTCGGTGGGAAGCTGGCGGAGGCTATGCATAATAACTTGGCTTCTCTTCATCGAAACATGCGTCTCCGGACTGCAGATAACACCCCTATCGCTACCAACATCAAACTCCCATAATATTGACAACCAACTTACACCAAAATCAACATTGCGAGCCGACGCTAGCTGTCCCGTCAAAGGCTACACAGCCTGCGGCAGCGGCATGGCAGACTACTTTTGCTGTCCCAGCGAAACGACATGCATGGTGCTCGCGGAGAAAACCACCGCCCTGTGCTGTCCAAAGGGGTCTTCGTGCGAGACCATTTCGCCCATCACCTGCGACGTTACCTTACAAGACGTGGTCGAGAACCCGACGAGCCCGATCCATACCACTAGACTGAAAGAGTCTCTGCCGCAGTGCGGAAACAAGTGTTGTCCCTTTGGGTACACATGTCGAGGCGACTCCGCCTGCGTCTTGGACGACAGTCAGGAGGGGGAGGGGTCTCAAACTTCCAGCACGTCAGTCTCATCCACAAAGACGAGGACAAGGACTATGACGAGCGCGACGCCGACGACGGCTACCCAGGCAGCGACGACGACGACAGTGATCGAGACACTTCCAGCTGCCTCGTCGACACCATCCGCAAACCCAGGCGACGACCTCCCTACCCCATCAGCAGTAACATCCCCCTCAGAAACCACCCCCGCCGCCGCAGCAGCCGCCTCCCCGAGAAACTCAACATCAGGCGGCATCATCGCAGGCACCACCGTCGCAGCCATCGCCTCGGTAGCAGGCCTAACCTGCCTCCTCTGGTTCAAGAGACGCTCCATCTCAGAAAGCGTCGGCTCCGCAAAGTTCCCCCGCCCCTGGCAACAACTACGCCAAAACGGCTCGGACCAGGACGTCTCGTCGCTGCCGCGGTACAACTCCCCGCCGCCGGCGTATGCCGTGGAGATGAAGCCGCCGCTGGCGAAGCCGTACACGTGGAAACACTACAGCCCGGACTCCTTTGGTCGCGACCGCTACGACAGCCGTCGCTACGACGACCAAGACGACGGCAGCGTTCCCGTCCCCGTTTCTGTTGCGCTTGCTCTCGCTGTCGAGCTGCCCGCCACGCCGGTTTCTTTTAGTCAGTGGCGTGTTCGGGAGGAAGGGGAGACGACGAGGCCGAGGTCTCACTATGAACCATACCGGCGTCCTTCATGATTGGAAATGTTCTTTCTTCAGGAAGGCTTTGTTCCTGTCTTGGGCGATTCGGTTTCTGCTTTTTGATAGACTAAGAATTTGCTCTACCGATTTTCTTTGTGTTGAAATGCTTGCGCTTGTCGAGCAAACAACCTGTTACGACAGATATGAGACACGTTTTCTGTACACTACTAGGAGATATGGGGGGAGAAAATCTAGAATGGGATCACGAGTTCATCTGCCTACGAGTATGAACCAAAGCCTTCTCGCGTCTTTGATGCAGTGTGTTGATATCGCAAGGTCCACCATGAGATTGATCCAATATGGCCCTGATGTTATATCAGTCTTAGGAGAGACTGTAGTAACTCAACCAGCCTGCTAAAACCCAAAGTGTACAACTCCAGTCATATCGAACACCTCAAAATCGTAGATTCAACACTAGCTCAAAACGTAGTAGAGAAGGGCAACCTTTTCCCCCCTTTCAAAATGCCTCGGCCGACGACGGACAGGGTCATCCACGACTACACCGCAAAGATCCTCCCCGCGACAATGATCCTCACCCTCGTAATCTTCACCGTCGTCGTCCTAGTCTACAGCATTGGTGAAAAGGCCGCCGTGCCCCGGGACGCCGCCGTCGCTTTCGCCGGCATCGTCTTTGGCTTCTCAGGGTTGTGGCTGTTGGGACACCTCATCATGTACTGCCGCGGCGCGCAGGCCGTCTCGCCTCCGCCTCTGGCTTTGCCTCTACCTCTAACGGGAATTGCGACTGGGATCGGCGACACAGCGATGGCTGTCCCTCAGGTTCCGCGGGCGGCTGTTGAAGTGGTTGTGCCTCCCACGGTCCATCTCCACCACCACCAGCAACAGCAGCATCAACGGGTTTATCAGCCGCCGCAAGGTTTCCCCCCTCAACTTCAACCTCACCCACAACCGCAGGATCAGTCTCACCGGCAGGTACTACCACCACAGCAAGAAAAGCAGCACCAGCAACAGCGGGACCAGCAACAGCACAAACCACAACAGCGCGAGCAACAGCAACACAGGGGCCAGGAGCGAGAGCAACAAGCAGAAGCCGAAGGGCCGATACAATTAGGCCGGGAGGAACAGAGAGATCATGAGTCCCGTCGGAGACTAACAGACCATGAACCATACGTCAAAGAGCCGCCTTATCCCGAGTCTCCCCCTGGAGCATATCAAGGGGGGTCGCAGGAAGAACCCAAGAAGCCAGCGCAGCAACAAAAAGATCAGCGGAGGCAACAACAGGTACAGCAGCAGCAGCCAAAGCAAGGACGTGAGATCTCCGGGCCTCTCGAGAACGTATGGAAGAAACGACCAAGCGCCCGCGAGAACCAGCCTGCTCCCGTAACAGTCCCCGGCCCTGTCCAGCAAAGACAGCAGCCAAAGGGACCCAGGACTATGACGGGGAAACCACCCGAACCTCCTGAGCGCGTATCCAGCCTCCAGAAGTCGTTACCCGGAACGCCGTCCCGAAGATATCGCAGCTCGAGCTTGAGTAGCTCGCGGGTTAACCGGCCTGGCCAGCTATCGAGGGGAGCATCGAATATTCCAAGACCTTCTCGGGGTGGACGTCCAGAAGACACTCCTAGCGCTCCTTATGAACGAGGTCGTCCACGGGTAGATCGCAGTCGTCCAGCCCAAAACCAAGACATCGAACCAGAACCCAGGTCTGCTTCGATCAGATCGACAAGCTTGGACTCTGCTACGCGGGCATCTTTGAAGGTGAATGCCGCCCCTGAAACTTGTGAGAGTCCCTTGAGGGCTGACTCAGACCAGCCCGCCCCCTTGAACATCGCGAAAGAATCACCATCCAACCTTGGGAGGCCGATTGAAGAACCAAGAGTCATCAGTGGCCACGCCTCTCTTTCAAGTCGACGATCCGACCAGCTTGAATCTGACCCCCGGAGTCAAGGAGCGCAAGGCCAGACCGTGGCCAAAAACAGGGCACCAACTATTCGCGAGGTGCCTCCAACGCCACCGAACGAGTTCGCAGCTCCCGTTCAGCCCGCTCAAGACGAGGTACGTGATCGACCCGTCCCTTCTTCTGTACCCTCTTCTTCATCTTGGTCGCCTTCTCTCCCCCCTTCTCTTACCCCGCCAACCCGCAGACCTCCTCCGTTGAATTTTGACGACATGGGCATCATCCCGACACGCGAATCGACAGTACGTGAGGACATCTGCCAATCTATGTCCGACCTTGGTAAATCCATACGTCGTTCTTTCACTAATTCTCGTGTCAGCAATTCCGATAGCCGTGGGAAGCCTCGTAGTATCATGACGGACTTTCAGACCAATGTCGTCTTCATGCCAGACTACAACTTTATGGCCACTGAGCTTCTTAATCCCATATGTCACGAGAATGGAAGTTTTCCTTTCCTGGGGTATTGTGAGGGAGACGGAGAAAAGGTTGCATCTGGAGAGGAGCTTGAGTACAGAGGTGATGTCGTTATGGTCTGCAGTTCGGATGACACGGGGCAGTGGCTTATCAAGCTTGTAGAGCTGGCCGAATCATCTAATGAGGCCGAGGGTGATATTTTGGAATAGACGTGTTTCGTAGGAGAGTTTTTTATCTATAGATCTTGTTCAAATGGAGGATGGACACGCCCTTCAATTTCTGGGCTACCATATCTTGAATCCTTGATGAGTGTTCATGCTGGGTCAGATGTTCCGTAGCTCTTCCCCGCATCGTTACCAGTCTCCGTCCGAGTTGATTCAATTAAAGGAGGGATTAACTACATAGTAAGTGTTCAGTTGTTGGAGGTTTAAGTTGCCAGCTGTGAGTGAGGGGTAGCCGAAGCTCCAGGATGAAGCTCAGAGCATCACACCACATTGGGTTCCGTCCACCTATCAAGACTCGAAGTCCAAAAGATTTCCAAATACAATTGCATGGCATGCATGGAGCATGCACCAGACAAACCAGAAGACGGAGAAGTGTTCGGAGACCACGGAATGACTAATCTGTGACGTAAAAGCTACCTGAGGGAGCATATCGCAGAACTCAACCTTGGAAAGAGTACGCGACTGTTGTGAACATCACTTGGATGAACGCTTAACATGGCAGAAGCCCAGGCATCAAACGAGTCATCATGGACCGATACGATCTACAACCTCAACCGCGGGGACGTTGACGGCGAGCGCGAGCGCCTGGCTGACAACCACTTCAAAGTCTGGCTGCCCCTCACCGTCGACCTCCTCCCGCCGCACATCCTCTCATCTCTCGAACCAGCAAACCCAGATCGAGCCCCTCGAATCGCAGACGTGGCAACGGGAAGCGGCGTCTGGCTGACATCTCTCGCCCAGCTCGTGCCACAAGACTCGGAGCTCTACGGCTTTGATCTTGACGGGCTCAAAATGCCCCAGTCGCATAGATCAGGAGTGTCGTTAAACTTCATGGAGCACGACGTTCTCAAGCCGTTTTCGGCGGAGTTCAGGGGCACGTTCGACCTTGTCCATGTAAGACTACTCGCACTGGGGCTGAAGAAGGATGATTGGGACGTCGCTGTGAGCAACATGCGCGAGTTGCTGGTGCCGGGCGGGTGGCTTCTCTGGGAGGACATGAGTGACCTACTCATCAGGTTCTATCCGCTGAGCAGGGCGTATGAAGAGTTCTGGTGGATTACTATGCAGCACGACGCGAAGGTCGGGAGGGATAGACTGTGAGTAGTTCCACTGCCGTTGCCTTGCTTTATCCCTTTTTCGCCTCCAGTCATTAGAAGCTCACTGCTCACACTTCCGATAGAATGCCGATGGGCCTGCTCAAGAAGCTTCGAAAGCTTGGGTTTCAGAACTGCGAGCAAAAGATCTTCAACTCATGGGCCGCAGATGATTCGGTTCGAGATGGAGCTACCTCGGGGATCATGCGTCTTATTCGACCTTCGCTGACGTCCATAGTTGAAGACGGAGGAGAGGAGACGGTCAAGACGATGGAGGATGTCACTCGAATCGAGGCAGAATTGAAGCGTGATGTGGAGGAAAAGGGGTGTCGAGTTGGCTTTGATTTCGTGTGGAACTGGGGACAGCGAGCTTGATAAGGCTGATCCTACCCTCCGTTCACTTCTCAAAGATAGGCTGCTCCTTCATCTCGTATCTACGGTCAACCCATCTTTGTTACGCTTCAATGAAACCAGAGTCCACCCAGCGGAAAGCCCACGCTGCCACCCCGTCGATCCAAGTAAGGGCATGGTGTGGTGAAAGACACCTGCTCTGTTCGCCTGTTCTGGCTGGCCTCTGCCTCTTCCGCTTACACGCTGAGATGTACGCAATCGGTCTCCTCGTCGCGAATGCTTAGGGCTCCATCACCTACAGCGCTAATCTCTACAGTGCCTCGCGTAGCGAGCGATTGGCGAAGGCTCCGTGGCCCGATATAGACGCCGTGCTTACCCTGCTCGGCGATTCCGGTTCCTGGGCTGGAAACCAGCGCTCAGTGACTCTCGACGATTATCACCAAAAGTTTTGCCTTCGGATGACGTTGTCCCCAAGTTATGCTGTGTAGGCCGGTCAAAGACCGAGTATAGGAAGCTTGATCGCTGCAGTAGCAAGATACACATCCAGACGACCAGTCGTTGATAGACAGCAGATCAATACAAACCGGCTCCATCTTCCAGCAGGAGTCTGTTCAACGCTCAGAAAGGGATGATGTGACACTTTTCACCTCGCCGTTCAGGTTACCCCTGAAAGCGCAGGCTCTGACGTCTCTGGCGGCGATTGGCACATCTTCTTGCTATCAATGTACTCTGTGTACAACTAAAGCACAGCTGAAGGCAATTTCAGCCACAAGCAGACCTTCTCTACGCGCTTCCTCATTGACATTAGTGTATTAATCAAGGTATATACGGAGAGCGATGATGAGTCTAGGCTGGTACCAAGGTCCCAGGGTCGAAAGACATGCTGATTGATTGTAAGAAAGAGCCCAGGGCTCTTAATACAGCAGCTCGGCCGTAGTGCCGCCTCTCAAGAGGCCTGATTGACAGGTCTCTTGCTCCAAGTTCTGCATTGCTCAGAATCTCGACCGCGGTTCGAACCATAATGTGTCAGGACTTTTAGGAAAACACTTCGGGCCCGGGAGAAAGCGGCGACGGCAACAGATATCACAATCTGAGTTCCGCGGTCCGGCAGGTTCGGGTTTCAAACCGGCCTTCATCACAAAAACAATGCAACAGCCCGCTCGGAAGTACGATACACCCCTCTTGGCAACTAGACATCTCCGGGGGGCCGGTGATTGAGTAGCTCATAAAACACAGTGCGTGACGAGGACCATATGGGCTTGCCGCGCCGGATCACTTCCCATGGACAAGAGTCGAGTCGCACGTCCCCTTTCCATCAGTTTAAACTTCCCACCGTGCCCCTTTAGCTAGCACTTCAAATTACTGACTGCGAGTCACAATATGCTCTCACAACTTACCAGCCATACAATAGCTAGAGAGAGAGCCTAGAGGAGGTGGGAGGCAGAGAAAAACCGCGCAACCCGGAAAGCGTCAGTGCAAACCCTCACCAGTCCGAGAGCCCGCAAATGACAACAAGACATAGCTGGAGGTCATTGCTTTCTTCCCGAGTCTCGCGGATAACGAAGGATTGGGAAGGGGGAAACTCGGACCTCCCGGACACCCGTCGAAATGCCAACCGCGCCAGCGCATGAGTTGAAAGGCGTCAGTGCCGGTGAAGTCTTTGCATGACAAGAGCGGCCGTGAGCGGTCGCGATCATTGCGCTGTTCATCTCCCGGCTAGACCATCACAATGACAGAATGTTGCCCCCCTCTGACTGTGTGCGTGTACGCGTCCGAGGTTCTCACGGTCTGGGCGGCATCGCGGGCGTGGTGAGAGCGGGCAATGGTTGCCGGCGGGAAGATGCCAGCCTGAGGTAGCGACTTGTCAGACATGCTCAAGGTCTGGACTTGGAAGATATCTGTGCTGCGAGTCTGGCGCCACAGCGGTCGTGTCATACGGAGAAGGAAGAGACGGGTTGTGATAACGTACAAGCACGGAGGACGCCAGTGAGCCTCATGGCGGGCAATATCCGAAGTTTGGTAATCGTCATGAGGCTGAATGATGGACGACATCGGGGTTTGAGAAAAGAGCCTCTTTACAAGGGCCCAAGTGCAAAGAGCCCGTAGGGATCGTTGCCAGCGACAAAAGCCACAGCATCAGATACTGGACCATCTTCAATCTTTGAACGTTCACATTGTCGCAAGGCTGAACCCCGTGGCTGGATCCCAATGTTCATCATCGGCAAGCGCTTGTCCATACCTCAGGACGATGCGGGAGGCAGGTCACGGCTGTTTCGAAATTCGAATCCAAGGACCCGACCCATCGGAGTGGTGGCTTGTTTGAGATCTTCTCCACTGATCGGAAGGATGCGAAAGCCACGAGTAGGCCCTTGTCGGAGGCGAACGCCTTTCCCACGATGAGATGAGGCCATCGCGATGCGTTGTTTCTTCGCTACGAGGCCTAATGCTTTCCAACCCACCTTTCGCTCTCAGACGAAAAGCCACATCTAGCAAAAGGGCCACAACGATGTTCGTGAAACTCGCTTCCCGATCTCTCCCATCTCCGCGGGCGCCGAAAGAGACCACTCGCACCCGTCCGTCGATTCGGCGCCCGCTTGCCTGAACTGATCTCCCGGATCCGACTCTCATCCTTCCCAGGAAATATCAGCAAGCCGTAAGCTATTCCCCATCTCTTCATTTGCTCGGACGACAGCCAACTAGAAGGGGCTCGTTACTTAGACAGCTCCCCCTTCCCATCCACGCCGCGCCACGATGGGCAGAAGGCCGTCTCTCTCCTCTCGTGGCGCGGCGTCTTTGCGCGCGCTAACAAGCCGCCTTGTGGGCATGGCAATCTGGCAGCCTTGAGAGGTGCCATCCCAACTTTTGATTAAACACGGTGGCTAGCGGTAGTGCTCGGCCGCAAAAGGGGAGCACGAGGGGTGTAGACTTGGCTAAAGTACGAAAGGAGAATGAGGGAGCCCGGACTTACACTGGGCTCGGACCCGGAGGCGTGGGCTGGTGACGGGGACGGCCTCTAGACAGTGAGGACCGGTTCGCTACTACACAATCGTTCCTCATCTCCACGGCGCGCGTGCTCTCTGGTTCAAATCTCCGCCCCCGTAATCCGTCCAGCGCCTGTGCAGGAATGAGTGACTGGTAGAGGACTGCAGAATCCCGTTTCGAGTCAGGCGTCACTCAAGCCCTCCTTTAACCCAGATTCCGGTGTTCTGGGAACGAGAAATCGGAAAAGGTGGAAGCCAAACTGCCATGTCTCGCACGAGCACATCAAAGGATCACGGGCACAAGGTCCCCGTGTTGCCCTGCTCCCAGCCATCGGGTCACGCAAGACTCCCAGCCCTGCCAGCCACGACATGTGGTCGAAGAGGTCATCCAAAGTTGAACGAGACATAGAGAAGAACCGCGACCAATGCAGGGATCTGGCCCGACGACCCAACTAAGTCGCGACGACGGATTCGAACGCGTAGAAGGAAAAGAAGGCTTTTAGCTAGAAGAGCCACCACTACCTGTTTTGCCCACTGGGCAGAGAGGCTGGCTGGGAGACCAAAGGCTTTAGCTTGGGGTTGCTTCTGCGTGCCCCGCAACCAGCAATTTAGAGCTTTCCGAGCCGCCGGATAGGAGCAACGGGCGAGCAGCAGAAAAGGGGGGAAAAAAAGTGTACGGACGGTAGAGAAAGCTCCAAGTTGTTTGGCTGAACCAAACCTGGGGGCGTGATGGCGCTGAGCTGGGAAGCTCTGGACGCTTGCGTCGCACAATCTTTTTGGCGGCGGCTGGTGGCTTTTTTTTTTTTTTTCTTTTCGATCTCTCTGAGAGTACTTGGGTATCTCTCGCTCTTCGTGACCACGCTTTCCAGAGTGCGCCAGCGTCGCAAATGGTGACGGGCGTGAAGCTAGCGGGTTCTTAGCCTCCCGTCGTGGTGTAGAGATGAGCATGCTAAGGCACAGTACACGCACTTAAGGGCATGTACCCCATCTCCCATGGCTTCATGAGGAGCCTGTTGGCTGGCGGTCGCAATGGAGCTAAGAGGTAGCCGGTCTCTGTGGCGCGGGTGCGTTGGTGCGTGACCGTTGGCACATAATGCCGCAATCGTCTCAAGTGTGAGGTAGGAAAAGGGGCACCGAAAGGAGAGGACGAGAGATCGGGGACGGGACGGGGGGATCCACTAATCCTGCTTGGTTCGGCGGTTGGCCGGTACGGGTGCGGAGGACGGTGCGGACGCTGATAGGTGCAAGTGGGCGAGCCGGAGGGGTGGAGGAGCACGAGGGGGAAAAGGTGCAAACTGGCCTATCCCGTTGGCCGGTGCGACTCTACGCCGCCGCGGGGGGGGGGCGAGAGAACCTGAAGACGATCTTAATGCGCACGCATTAAGTTTCCCTTCTCAGGGAAGGTGAAGCAGGTAGGTCTGGGGAACGGGTGGGAGAAAGGCGGCTGTTGGCTCGTTACGGTTGCAACCGAATGCATACCCCTTTTTAATCGATGTATGCGTGACTTTGCATCCATCCCCTTATTTCTTTTCTTTTTCTTGCCCTTTTGCCTGTCTACCTACCTTCTTTGGGCTGTGGAGGCGTGGGCGACTTTTCTGACCGTTTGCAGGGGAGATGAAGGAGATGCAGGTCCGGATGGGGATACAGAGGCCGACGTGCTGGAAGGGGGGAGCAAAGGGGGCCAAGACTTGGAGGCTCAAGGGCTTGGAGAGAGAGGCGTTCCGTTCTGCTGCGCGAGACCTGATCTGACAATGACATGGTGCTGTAAGGTACATTTCGTCCTAAGCTCTGACAGTCCAGTCATTGCACAGCGTCGGTGGATGTGCGGATCATGGATGCGATGCAATCCAAGGCTGAGATGATAACGAAGACGACGACTCCGTACGACGGGACGGCAATGAGATGTGATGCGAGGGTAGCGAGAGGGAAAAGCCGAAGGGGCCCTGCTCGTTGGGAAATGATTGGTGGCTCCCCCGGTGGGCGAGTCTATGTGAGGCAGACGTCGACATTGGCCGATGCTATCCCGCATCTTTCGATTGTGAAAGAGAGCATGCCCTCTTTGTCTCCAACGTCTCCATTCAGCACGGTTACATTTGACAGCTTTCTCCACGAAGAACTGCACAAACAACCCTTGAAGGGATGAGGGGGACCTCGGCCGAGTTCGTATGATGGGGCGTCCGAGAGTCAAGTCAACCCAAAATCAAATCAAACGAAACATTGAGCAAGACAGCAGACTGTGTGGGCATCACTCAGAAAGGTCGTGTCATTATTCGGGGTTGGCCGGAAGGGAAAAAAAGGTTTCCTTGTTCCTGCAATGTCGTGCAGATGGGTGGATGGGACCTCGCTGCTCGGCTTCTCCATCACCGTTGAACAGGTCCACCAAAGTCGAGTTACTCTTTTGAGCCATCGTGATAGATAGAGTCGAACGACGAAAAGATGAAGATGAAACAGATGTCGACTGGGGTATTCCGAAGATGGGGAGGGGGGAAACGACTGGGAGTTCTAAATGAGTGGAGGGCGGGTGCAGCGTGCATGGCGCGTTCTGCAGGTACAGGCTCGGCCAAGTACGGTTGCGACGCTGCTCTTGATGCTGTAGACTATCCGTACGGATATAGAGTACGAATATAGCTTGGCGATTCGAAACCTGTCAATCTGTGTGTGTGCCACTCTCCCGCGTCTGTAGTGCCAAGTGCTTGTCATCCGACGTCTGCTGGATGACTGATCAGTTTCTTGATATATCCATTACCACCATGCCATCCCGCCCACGGTCAACCCGGCCAATGTTCGTGTTGCGGGGGCCACAAACCACCAGCAGAATCGGAGATGGGGGCGCGGGAAGAACAAGAGACGAACGGAAGAGAATACATGCATAGATCCAGGGGTCCCATCCTACGCGGCTGACCTGACTTTGAACATGTCTTGGACCCCACAATGCAATGCAGAGTATAATTCCTCCAGTGTTGAGCTGCCTCTCCCCATGTGGACTGCTCAACCTGCGACGCCAGAACCCCAGTCCACCTAGCTCTGTTCAGAGAGCAAAGCGAAATGAGCAGACACACCAGGGGAAGCACACCGCCAAGCATACCTGCCACCCATTGCCCTCTTGACCTTGACCTTTCCAGGCTTCAGCCACTCCCAGAGCTTTCTTACTACGGAAGACGGAGGAAATCGTAGATCTGCAAGTCGGTGAGCGACACGAAGCGAGAGGCACTGTATGGGGATCTCATGGTCCCCCCCTGGTCCCCTAATCCCCTGTCGTTTCTGGGTTCGTCCGCCCGAGGTCTTCTTAGCCTTCTTCACTGTGTGGGCTCTCCTCTGGATGGATACACAGTAAGCTCTCTCTCTCTTCTTCCTTGTCGCTCTTGTTCTTTTCGCTCTCCACACGGGCGCAAGGATAGGGGACTCATGTATCTGCGGTAACGACGTTTTGACGGCTGATGGAAAAAGAAATGGCGAGGAAATCGGGAGGCACGACAAGGGGAAGCTGATTTTTTTCTTCCTTTCTTTGGGGGCAGGCAATGAACAACGACATGGGAGGGGTGTGCTATACGGACAGACTGTACTGAGCATGGAGCGGGAAGAAACGCAAATGGTAGTGTAAACGCGTCGGAAATGTGATCCGTTGACGTTTACATGTAAGCTCTCGAGAAAGACTCTGCAGAATTGCAGTGCAGACCGCTCATGTTGGGGGGCCCCATTCCTTGTTGCTAGGTACCGGACAGAGGCTCGTAGCAATCGGTGTAAGCCCGTTGGCTGAAGCCTCACCGAGAACCAATACTCGAGTCTCCTCTCTCTTCCCCAGAGATGTCGAAAGTCTCACCCTCACATCTCGCACACAGACAAAGGACGCAAGGGGCGCATACGGGATACGGATACACACGCGCACATACAATCGCCGCTAGAGATGCACAACACCCGCAGGCAAGGCTCACTGACTCTGGGTTGCCCAGTGCTGCGATGACGGGATGCCAAACGAAACGAACACTGGTCCGTGTTTTGTCCTTGACTCGGGTTTGGGTTCCCTGGGTCCTCTTCGACTCTGAACTCTGACTAAGGATCTGTACGACCAGAGGAGCAAAACGCGACAACGAAGTAGACAGATCACCGCGAAATTCCCCATGATGAAGAGAGGGTCTTGTTAGTAGTTCCACCGGGTCAAAGCGCGAGAGAATTGCAGCTTGCCTTGCCTTGCCTTACGCAGTACACAGAGAGATCAACAGCCGCGACATCCCGACGACGATGATATGACAAGTCAGGGTCTTTTGGAGGGGTGAGGGTTCTCTCGCCTTGCATCGCACGGCAGAGTACGCCATCACACTCGGACTCATGAACATCGCAATGTTAAAGAATCGCGGGGAGGCGGCGGTGAAGAATGGTGGCAATGGCACGGGGGACGGGATCAACGGAGCCACACCACACCCAGAGCCACACCAGGCTGGGATCATGAGCGATGGATATCTGCCATCCCCAGGGTTTCCGAATGGAACCTCATTTCACAGCTCCCACTGGTGTTGAGAACTTGGAGCTTGGACGGAGAGAGGGAAACGAACACCCCCAGCTCCGCCCGCGGATCGGAATCTACCTCGCACGACGCCAAGACGCGTTCGCAATCTCCAGACGGCGAAGATAGTGCCTTCATCCCGAGGCTTCCATTACTTGGTGGTGAGGCTCTTTTTTCTGGTTACGCCGCTAGAGTTCGTACGATATATTCTATCGTCGACTAGCTAGAAAGTCTAGCAGGCTTCTAGCCTAATTCACCCGCAACGAGAAATTGCGGCGAAACGGCCCGTGGGCTTTTTCAGACGAGCAGCCTCGTAGCCTGTAGGTGGCTTCCGCGGTGGTTCAAATTTCTGCAGGATTCCTCTTTGGGAATCGCGTGATTGAAGGGTGCAGTATTCTTGTGGTGCTTGTCCTCCCGGGAAGCCCCCAGCACCAAGAGCTGATATAATCTGATTAGCTCGAACGGGGGACCGTGTTGGTGATTTTGATTCTTGCTGCTTCAGATTGATTGCGTAGATAGGATGTGGGGTTGGCCCGAAGCTAGGGATTCAGGAATAGGATTTCCTGCGGGCCTAGTTAAATTCGCGGGCAAACCGAGGGAAGGCTAAGAGCTTTCGATTAAGACTCGTGTGGTTCTGCTTGGCGACGCTTCTTTTTGATTGAGTTTGTTTGAGTTTCGCTGCTTCTTCTTCATCAATCATGTTGCAATTGACTTTTTTTTCGTTCAGGAAGCACCGGAAATGGCAAGAACACAAAAGCACACTGACGGCTGAGTGTCTATATATCTATATTATCGCGAGCCTCGGCGCGGCTGGAGTCTTTGTCTGCCCAAATCTGCGAAGCCGAAGACTCGAGTCGTGAATCTCCCACCTCGGGCGGAGGGGTGTAAGTGAGTGAGTACCTACACAGTATGCGAGTGTTTCTGTTTATGTAATCCAACGAGGAACAAGCGCAGCGTCGTATCTGCAGATTGCAAATCTTCTAAAGAAAGATCGCCAAACTGTTTGAGATACATTTCGAAAGCTTAAACTCCGCATGACTTTGTTCGGTGTCGCCTATCAAAACGTCAGTCACCAAGACACACCCCTTCCCTTCCATGGGTGATGGCATCATCATAAATCGCCCAACGCTGTTCGTTCGCCGCCCCCCCCCCCCCCGCCCCGCGTCCGTCCCGCTCGCATAATGAACGCAAACGGAAAACACGGTCAATTCAGTCACTGGTTGGTCTCGGTTCTATTTTGGTGACACAAGGGAATGCCAGGACAAAGGTAGAGACCGTGGTGGCCGGAGCTGCTCTGCGATTGATTAAACGAAAGATGGGAAACGAATTTCCCTTGGGCCGGAGCCTATTCTTCACAGCTGGGATCGTCCTTGGTAGTTGTCACAGTGCTCAGGAGCTCAACTATCATCCTGGAAGCAACAATCAAAAAGCCAACAGGCAAGTCCCCGGATTCACTACTTTAGCGGTAGTTTGCTCGCGACGTGACAATAGTAATAGTGATGAACCAAGAAAACTGCGCTAAGAAAAAGCCACCGTCGCACAAACGTGCATGTAAAGTTGCGAACTTCAAGATTTGCCAGATTAGCGGAGAAGAGGGGTGTGTCTTCGTGAACCATCAGCCGTCAGGAGGGGCCGATCATCACCATCTCCGGGGGGCTTGCGTGACCAGCCTCCCGGCAACGGCAACGGCACAGGCAAAGTCAGAACAGCATCCGTCGAGTCGTCGTCCGGGCCGTGGTCGGTGTTCCGTCTGTTTGCAACCCATTCGGCATGGTCAGGTTTCTTCGGTCCCGGTTTTTTTTGTCCAACGCCATCAATCTCTTTCGTTCGCAACGGGATCTGCAAGACATCATCACAGGAAGGGTCTTTCTGTCCGAAAAGGGCAATGGAAAGAATGCTGACGTTGAGTGAAGCCAATGACGTTTTGGAGTTACACAACGTCCTGCAGACTTACACCCCACGATTAAGCAGCACCGAACGGTAGACAAGAAAAAGCCTTGGGGGTGGGTGTCAGCGCAACCCAAGCCTCACGTCACGTCCGGCGCCGTAGCCGAACCGGTAGCTTCGTATAGAGTGCGCGGTTCCAAGTCTTTGATTTAGATTCAGAGTTGTTCTGCTCAACTTCAAACAAAGGCGCGTGTTGGCATATACCCCATAGCGGCCCAGCAAGTCATGACCTTAGGTAATCCCAGGCACTTACAATGCTGAACTAAGCGCCGTGTGTCTGAAATAGACTACTGTTTGTAAACACTATTTTGCGTCGGGATTACTTACACGTGTAAAGACTTAAGAACGCGGAACCTGGGAACAATTAGACGCAGCCAAAAGACAGTGCAGGAATGTGTAAAGTGGTTTGTGGATAGCCATCTCAGCCGCAAGTTCGTCAACCTACACCAATACCAAGGCTCTTGTAGTTTCATGTTTTTTTTTGCCACGATGTTCCCAGAGTTCAACCCACATGGCTCCGACGGCCGGGAAGCCTAGAACTCGGCCGGCCGCCGTACCGCACCGCTCCAGCCCGCCCCTCCCACTTTCAGGCTCCGACGCATTCAGCGTGCGGGTTCCTGTCGAGAAAGGTAATATAGCTTTAGCACCGGCGTGTTATACGCTTACAAGTGTTACCGGGATGATTGTGGCTGAGGGCAGACGTACACACGTCTTCAGCTCTTCAGCTCTCCAGCTTAGGTAATGCATCCTGGGTTCAACTGCCTTGGCGCACGCGGGTATTAGGTAAGCTCCGATATAGTGGGAATCTCGACGGTCTGAAAGCATGCAAGCCCCTGCCATGTTGCGTTCGACAGACAACAGCGCATACTTGGTCCCCTCTTCAACTTCTCAATCATCGCGTACGGTGCTCCATCGCCCACGCACCCGGCGTTTCGAGGTTACATTGGAACGGATGAGAACGAAGGCTGTTGAACCCGTCGTGCCCCATCCTCCGCCGCCGCCGTCTGCGTTACACTCGAGGTTACTTTACACGTACCACGCTTACACACGCACTTGCACGCCTTGCGCCGGGAATCGGGGGATCGGGTTGGGAAACTGTCATACGGGACCACGGTACGGAGTTCGTGCTCAGCTCGTGCCATCACCGCTCCTCTCGCGATCCAAAGGCGGTTCCATGACTATGCGGCGCTAGAAGTTGGAACCAGACGCCCGGATGGATGGGCGCAGCGAGTGCGTGTGAGGAGCTACCTTACCTCAAGACGAAAGAGAACGATTGCCGAAATATGCCACTTTTAGTACTGCGACGGTGCAGACCTGTCTCGATCGCCAGAACGCAACCTCGAAATTCCCGGGAGATGACGATAAATTTCGGTCAACCAGGGAAACGGCGAACCCTTTTTTCCCTCCATCACCACTCCTCTTGAGCAATGAGTCTTTGGGCTCCAATCCGAACTCATGATGCCGTGGAGCAGCAAATCGAAGACGTCTTCAGGCAGCACGCATCTTGAAGGCGTCCGTACCCAAACCCCCCACCCCCCACGCCAAATCAACAGACCAATCACAGCACGCAAAGCAAAAAGCAGGATTTCCTTCAGCGGCCGAACCACGCACCCCACGTGCGCGCACCTGATATCTGCCTTACCACGAACCCTCCCAACGACGAGCCACCATTTCGAGAAAGTTTACTTGATGACGGCGGGGATTCTATATCGCAGTGACATATAATAGTACCCAACGGTTAACTTCTCGGACTATGACACTCTATTCGACGTTTCAAAGAAACCATGCGTCATGGTCGAGAAAAGACAGGCAATGTCGTCAAAAGACACTTCCTCACAGTGCGAGAAAAAAAAAAGAGACAGCCAAGTAAGGTACGGATACAGACAAAAAAAAATCATCCAATGATTCAAAATCGATAGGACCAGGGGGGCTGCATCTGCAAGAAGTGCAACGGCAACAGACTGCACTCTGCAGCAAAGCGGAGAATGCGACAGGGCGCCTGGCGCGGATAATGGCGGTGGGCGATGGACGGCTGACGGTGGCATAGTGGAGTCCTTTCTTTTTTCTTCTTTCTTCCCGTCCACGATTGTCCTCTTTTCTCCCGGTCTCTATCTCTATTGTGGATGCTATCAAGCATTCTGGTGAACCCATAGGACTGTAAGGTGCAGGTGTGGATCATGAGGCGGTAGACGACAACGACAACGTGTTTCTTAACGATTTTTTTCTTCTTTCTTTCGGGGAGAGCCTGCATCGCGATGCCGGGGTCGTAATTCCTCTTTCGTCCTTCTCGTCCGCAGCCCCCAGAGGCGAGAGAGGGAATAAAAAGCGCCATGCAGAAAAGAGAAAAAGAGAGGAAGAAAAAAAAAGGCATAACGTTGCTGCATGGACTCCACGTTGCAATTGACGTACCACCGCGCTTCAGCCACACCGCACCCTGCTACCATTGACCAGATTCGATCGCCGGAATTGGTTGGAGGACTAGGTGAGGCACGGGTAGTCGCAGGCGAAAGGTACGAATGGGAAAAGAATCAAACTTCTTCTGCTTCCTCCCACATACCATAATCGCCAAGGCTTTCCTCTTCAATGTGGGGGGGGATATTTCTACCAATTCCGCCCCGTGGACCTGATGATGGAGATAGAGAGAGAGAGAGAGAGAGAAAGACGGGACCAGGGTGTCTGGTGTACGCAGTATACCTAGATGCCCCCACTTTCTAGGAGCGGAAGAGGCGAAAAAAACGTGTACCTTTTTTAAACCTCTAGAAAAAAACAGCCTCACGAAAAATGTGGCTATTTTAGAACTCACATCCTAGTCGGGGGGAAACCTCCAACTCCCAATCAGCAGCAGCAGCCGCAGCATCATCATCATCACCACATCTCCAAGAAACCGGTTCCCAAGCAAGCTACAGCAACGCAGGGCCATGTAGATGGTCGAAAAAGATGGCACGCCCAATCTATCGATTCTCAACGCAAAACTCTCGCAGCTATTCCCAGCACAGACTTTCGTCCTTCCCCCCCCCTCCTTCGCCACCGTCATCGCGGACTCGACCGACCTATACTGACCTACCCCCCTTACCTTATCCCATGAACATGCTTTTTCCAGCCGCATCGTGACAGACCATCCATCTGCCGCAAACAAACGCGCAGTCGAGGTGCGGGGTTCGGCCAGGTAGTGTAGGTGTTTGGCGCGCGTGTTAGACATACATCACGCACCACACACACACACACACACACACACACACACACATATACGACTAGGCGTTGACAGTATTGCTTGGGCAAGGCAAGGGGTCACGGGCAAGAGAGGCTTTCACCACCTTACCACACGTCACCTATAGCCTACGCCCGCCGACGCCCATACCGTAGACTTGCTCCCGATTGAGGGGGAAAATACAAAAAAAAGAAAAGAAAAGAAACTTTGGACGCAGGGACCACGAGTTGTCTGAGACCGCGGCGCCGAATAGATCAGGAGAGGGGTCGTCATGAATCGATGAAGTAAGTGGGATGGAGGGTGGGATAGGATAGCATGAGCTTCCCTTGCGCAATAGGTCCCGATACAGCATCGCAGCAAAAGACGTCGCCGGTTCTCTCTCTTTTCGCTGCGGTCGTTCATCGTTTTGGTTTTTGTCATGTTTTCGCCTGTTTCGGCATTTCAAGCAATATTGTTGCTAAACGTTTGTCATCGGGGTCGTCAGGAGTACCCTGGGCGCGCGCATTCCAGACGCATTTTTTCCCCATTCCGCTCTGGCTTGAGTCGAATTCGTACCAACGACAGTGACAGTGACAGCAGTGACAACACCGGCCGTTCCCAAAGAAGCTCAGACCAGGCTGCGAATGCGAATGTATCAAAAAAAAAAAAAAAAAAAAAAAGAAGGAGAAAAAAAAATAGTTGCGGCACCAATCGCAAGCCCGCTGCTGCCAACACCCCCAAAACCCAAAAAAGAGGCCGAAACCGAAGCTTGGGGAGCCGGTTCGTCAGATGCCACCGCGGGGGACCGAGCTGCGACGCAGACGGACACGGCTGCTGCTATGATCTCCCCATGACTTACTCCGTACCGACCCCAAAAATTCATACAAACGGCGCAAACAATCACATCACGAGAGTAGCAGTGGTTACACGAAATAGGTTTGAACAGATAGGGCATTGTTGTTTGGTATCATTGATTGGCTGTCTACTAGCCCGCGCCACCCCCGAAGCCTCGCGGAAGGGTGTGTGGCCGATTCGGCTGTCCGGTTGTAAAGGCCATCGCTCTCTGGCGTGCCCATTCCCGTCCCATTTTTGGTACATTGCCAGTGACCATACACTTTTGTGGTATGCTCTTGCGGCTTTTGGTTCCTCTTCCTCCACCACCACTGTTGCTTTACACATTACTTCGACCCCCATTTGTACACGCAAAGAAATTCGTTCCGTCGTTATTGAAAAAAAGAGAAGATTGCCCTGCGCCAATTGAAGAAAGGAGTGTTGGCTGAGCCCCAAGTCCGTAACCCGAAGGTCAATGTGAAACGCCGTGATCCAGTTCCGGTCCCCGTTCGTGCGCCGTGCATGCAAAGCAAATGGTCCCGACCCGAATGCAAAAAAAGTAACGCAAGCAAAGTGCCCTGCCGTTGTGTATCGAATGTGTCTTTTGTGTTTGGTTTTTCAGTTTTTTCCTTTGGTGGGTGACCGGCGACTAGCCAATCTTGATGCTCTTTCTGCGGCTGGTGAAGCCGCTGAGGATTCGGCTCCGGGTGTTGCCCGCCGGTGAGCTAGGCGATTGTACCTGAGCGACGGGGGTGGATGGGGTCGGAGGCTGGTTCTGCGCGTTCTTCTTGGCCGCACGCATGATATCGTGGTAGCTGACGGCGGACCAAGGTGCCTTTTGCTCGGGCTCTTCCCTAATGTCTGCGTGGGCCGACAAGGGGAGGTGACCCAGTGACGGCGAGGACAGGCGGTCGCGAGAGGAGTTGTTGGCAGCGAGGTCTCTCAGCTGAGGACGGCTGCGCTTGCGGACAATGCTGAGGGTCCTCTTGAATAGTTGGGAAGTGGGAGTCTTGGGTCTCTCGAGCTTCTCGGGCTCCGCTTGCGGCTCCTCGGCCCGCTCGTCAAATGGCTTGCTGGCGTAGGGGTCGATGCTGAGGAAGGAAGGCTTCTCCTTGGGCAGCATGCTGCTGGTGATCATCATGCTGCTTGACCTGGGTGGGTGGAAAACGGGAGAGAAGGAGGCGCCACTGGTGGAGGAGGTGGACATTCTGCGCAATGAGGGTGCTGTTGATGAGATAACCAAGCGACTCGGGGGCCTGCTGGACTCCATGGACTCGGGCGAGGCGGACCTTCTTGTTGAGGGGAGGTCGATGATGGAGGGCTTTCCGGCGAAGACGACAGACACAACGCGGGCAGTGTCCTCTTGGCTCTTTCTGCGGACGGGGGAGTCGGCGGACTCTGCGCTCTCGGACTCGTAATCGTAGTCTGAAAACTCGTCGGCGGAGGAGGAAGCTTCTTCTTCGGAAGAGAGATAGACTTCTTGGGGTGCTGCTTGTGTAGGTTGGTTTGTGATGATCTTGAGGGCCATGCCGTCGAGGAGTCTGGAAGCTCGCAATGAGCTCTTGGCTGGTAGCGCTGGTGCCGTTTGTGCGGGTTGGGTCTTCTTGGGGGAAGGACCCGTCATCTCTTCGTAGTAGTCGCCATACATCTTTGCGTTCTCGTTCTCGTTCGGGGCGTCGTCGTTTTGGACGGATGGTCGTGGTGCGTTGGGAAGCGAGTCTCTATAAGAGGTCCTTTGTGACTGATCCTTCTTGTCTGTGATGGTGGAGGTAACACGGTCCTCTCGGCTGGAATGTACCGACTCCCTTGCGGGCATAGTCTGGCCGGCCAGAGACATGGTTGGCGGTGACGTCAAGTTCGCGATCTCCCTCGAGGAAATCTGAGACTGGGCGGTTTCAGTCGACTCTCGAGTGCAGAGTGCAGCTGGTCTACAGCAAATAGTGACAGCTGACTAGCAGGTAGGTTGGTGTAAGTGTCCAGGCCGGTGATATGGGCTTGGAGTTGAGAAGATGTTCAGAGGGAGGAGTAATGCAGAGTTACTCGTTTGGTGAAGCAAAAGAAAGAGCAAGAAGCACCTAGGGGTGTGAGGTGGGAGGGCAGAGGAGGATATATCTATGGCCGGGTCGGTCAGGCACACTTGGACGGGTTGGGGACGGGATGGGATATGTTCTGTTCGGGTGGACTCACATAAAGGGACGGGGGGTACGGAGTAGGGTACGAAGTACAAAGTATCGGGGGCTCCAAATAGGTAGCCGGGGGGGGAGGGGTGTGGGATACGACAGGTCGACACTCCGTGGAGAGAGAGAGAGAGGTGAAGATTGAGAGAAACAGACAGAGAGAGCACAGATGGCACTGCAAGGCGCCAGATAGACAAGAGACAGACTCCAAGGTGCTCCTGCACTTCCACTTGCACTCTGCACTTGCACCCAAGTTCATGTCCCCCAAGTCCCATGTCCTGATCCTGGGCTGCCCCCCCAGTGACCCCCTAGTCCCGATCCCGGTCAGGTCCTCATCCTGAACGGGGTCCACTTGGGTACGGGGACCCAGTGCTCCTTGACGCAGTTGACACAGTACAATGTACCGGGGGGCTTTTGTGGCAGCAGCGCCAGCGAGAGAAAGCGAGGCAGGGGCTGGGAGGTCAAGTCCCCGCTAGTCCCTGTCGCTCCTTCCTTTGGCTGTCCACTCTGCAAGATGAGGTACGTACCTACCATACTCCGTACCTATGTACTACCTATGTAGTAGTATTCTCCCATGATCCATCAGACTCAAGAGAATCGACACCTTACGAGCCTCGCAACCTTAGCTAAGGCACTTCCTCTGCGCAATCCACCACCCACGCCCAGTCTCCCGAGCACCATCAACGACGGAGTACGCAGTAAAGCCAGAGTGCTCAGTCACCTCGTGTGATTGTGGCTCAATCAATGGCTGTGAGTCTGCCATGTACACACAGATGTCCGTACTGCTCACCCTAATTACCTGCCTAGCTCTCCGTCAATCTCTCTCAACCTGTCCGTGGGGTGTCCGCACCAAACCTTACATCGAGCCTACAATCACGGCCATGCTCTCCCAGACCACACGACGATGGTGGCATGGAGGACGGAGTAACGACTAACGGGTTACGGAGCACCTCCTACGGATAGACGCCTTCCTCACCCACTCCCTTTCCACGCCCATCCGCGAAATGCTTCGTACCCCCTACACCACCAATTCTCCTCCTTGCGCCAAACACCACACACCAGCACCAGCACCAGGCACACCCACCACCACAACCACCACACTTTGCATCACAGACGCTACCCACACGGGCCACACCTGGCACATCTCCTACGCCGTGCCCCTTCATCATTGACTGCACAATCTACGGCCCCACACTCTAATTCGCCCTTCAGGTCAGGACCGCGCTGTCCAGCCTTGGCCAATTCTGGCACTCTGCTTCACAACCGCATTTCCTACTTGCAGCACTATGCCATCCTGACCACGCGCTGCTGCGAGGATTGCCTCTAAAGTGCGTCGTTTCATGTAAAAGGGTGCTATTGACGACCAGACGCCATCTACGATGCCTGAACCGCACCGCACCGCACAACACACCTCGTCTAGACGGGGTTCGCGGCGTGCCATCACCTCTCCAGATGTCTCCATTAGGCTATCACCTCCATGAGGCATGGCGTTTCTTAGCACTCGAGTAGAAAGGCGAGTCTGCCGATGCGAGGGGTTACCGAGACTGACGAGAGACGAAACCGACCAAGCCGCCCTACCCACGGCCACGGTTATGGCCCTCGCGATAGTCTCGTCGCTGTGGATTGGAGGGAGGAACGAGTGTGTGGAAACTTTGTCCAGTCTAATCGCCGGCACTTCAGCCCATGCTGTCATCTGCTCAACATCCCTCAACCACCAGGCTGATGCCGCTCACGACCCATCACTCCTGGTGGCCGGCATCTTACTGTGCCCTCCACAACTCTGCCAGACATCATGATTTGTAACAGCCGCAGCGAGGCATGTTGCCTACTGCACTCTTCGTCATCCCATCATGAGCCTCGTTCGTTTTCCCTGCTTGTCGACGTTTCCCAGCGCCAAACACCCCACACCTCTCGTCAAGCTATCGCTCTCGCAGTCGACCGGGGGGTTGGTCACACCCACGATCACAGCAGCAAACTCCACACCACCAGATGAGGCGGTGGCAGGGGTCGACTTTGCTGTCCAAAGGGACGACATCTTGGGGTTCCTCGACGGCCAAGGAAAAGCGTTCCTCAGCCCAAGGGCAGCGACAAGAACGCAAGCGTCTGCGTCTACATCCGCCTCCACCGTCTTCGTGATTGGAGGCATCTTTCCATCTTTTGGTAGACCGTAGGGGCCTCCAGATGGCTGATTGGACCTGACGCCCCTTTGCCGTCTTAGGGGCCGCCGGCAGCCGCCTTCTGTCGGACCACCAGAAACGGCCGTCGGAGCCAAATGATGTTCGTCCAGTCCCGTCTGCGTTAGGAACCCTATTCCTGCCCGCATGAAAACGTCCTCTTCGATTTTCTCATGCGACCCGACGGATGCTCTCGCTCCCGCCGCTGGAACTGAAAGGGAGCAAGTCAATTCGATCCCGAGAAAAGGGAGAAACATTTCCAATGTTTCGGGCTCACGGCGGAACATGTCTTGGCTCCTCGCTCTCCGGCTACAGGCTGTGCAGGGCAAGGACGGGCCATCATCGATGTGCAGGCAACCCCCTCCGCCCTTGGCAATCCATGATACCGCACATCTGCATGTACGCGAGTGTGCCAGAAAAAAGAAGCATCACAAACCCGTGGTCCAAACAGCTCAAGACCCTTGCGGCCTGGCCTGCCCAGCCTCCAGGGCCATGGTCTGCGGACAGACCGAGCTTTTCTGGGGGAGAATGCCATTTACTTTAAATGAGGCCGACGACGACAACGAGATACCGTATCGGGCGCAATCAAGATGCAATCTGTCTGTTAACATGAAGGGGCCAGGTGGAGGGCCGCAAGTGCGATTTCGCAATGGCCCGGCCGATGTCTTCCGGGAATGGCACGCAGAAGCCAAGATTGACCGACAGCAACAACGTTATTGTTTATCCGGCGCGCAGGCTATCAGAAGACGCACGCTTTACCGCCTCCGCGCCATCATGTGGCCGTGGAACAATATCAAGATGCTTCAATGGTGTGGAACTCTGAGGGCACGCAGCATGTGTGCGCTTCGCCCTCCAGAGGTTAGCCGTAGACATTCGATACCCTGGCCCGCGATCTGGACTGGTACCTGCTGCACCGTGCCGCGCGATATCGATGCAAGTGCTAGAAAAGGGAAGACTCGAGAGTGAAAAAAAAACGGCTTGTCTCACTGGAAGCGAAGAGGCTGCCGACATCTCACTGGACAGATGCGAGGCACAGAGCGTTGCATCGTCAAAGTGACACCACGTTGGGTCGGCAGATTCCCTACGGGTTGCACGAATCACATCGTGAACAACGGTTCCAGTTCTTTTCTCCGCCGTATCCCTAGGACGCCAGATGCGGGACAATTTTTATTTTATTTTTTCGTCGCTCTTTGCCTCACGAATCCCAGACCGACATTTTGTCTCGTCTCTCTGCCGCCTGGCCATCGCAAGCAACTCAGTTCGCCCCAACCGTCTCGCCTTTCTCTCTCTGTGCCGCTGAGGGGAATGCCAATGATGAGAGTGTCTGCGCCAGTAGGTTAAGCGTGCAGCGCCATGCGATAAATGTTTCCTCAAAAAGAGCAAGGCTCGCCCTTGCAGCAGAAGAGCACGCGAGAGAAGAGATGTTTCTTCGCGCCCTGCAGCTGCCTTGCCCCGTCTGAGAAACGATCTCAAACCTGAGGCGCGCCAGCGAGTTCAAGGGCAAGGACTGACGCTATTCTTTCCAAGTGTTTCGTCGCCAGCTTGCCGAATTCCAGCAACGAGGGGTTGCTTCTTGAGCTCTTTGGGCCAGTCACGGCCCTTGGAACGGGCAACCCCCTGCCGTTCGTCTGATGTGCTGCGACAGACACTGTCGAGGCTGGGAGACGGTCATTCGCTCACCAGGTTGGGTCTGTGAGCTTCACGGCCTGTCACTGGACGAGAGCTGTCAGTTAAAGCTTGGGAGTGCGGCAACGCACAAACCCAAGCCATCGGGGACGAGACAAGCTTATCAGCGTTTTTTTTTTTACAAGGGCCCTGACCCAAACGCTCCTGACGGCTCAAGTGCTTCATTATGCCAAAGCAAAGCCCTGCAACTGCATGGCGATTCGTTTCGGGACGACTGCAAGCGCAGAGTGTTTCTGGCGACTGGCAATGCTCAACGTTTTCCGGACGACGATCGGGGTCATGCTCCCGTACCGCAGCCGTCGAGATACAAGGCCGTACCGCGTCCGTCTCTGGCCGGAAGCAACGCACACAGTGTACGGGGTAGGGAGGGGTGTCGACACAATAAGGACTCTATCGCCATGCCCGTGATATCGCTATTCGTATGCGACGTGATACGAAGTGCAAGGCTCATCGCTGGTGCTCGGCGGACAACGGGCCATCAGCAATCATGATTCGGAATGAGAAGAGGGTCCCTTTTCTCTCTCACAGATTTACTGCGTACGGCGCGGCGCATTTTGGCCCATTCATCGGCCCATGTGCTGTCGGCTGCCAGGCCCAAGACCAGACTGACGCCGGCAGACGGTAATTTGACCAGGGCGTCCTTAGTGGGGACCTCGAAAGATGCGATGAATTCCAACACGATGGATGCATATTCAACGCCGTGTCCCTTCCTTCGTCTCCGTCTCTTCATCACCTGTCTGCCTGGCTCATCAGCAACGGACCAACTCCGAGCCTGAACCCGGTGGTTTTGCGGACTGACGGGCTCGCTTCCTCGGTCCCTTGACTGTCTGTCCCTTGCTGCCGAACATTCTCTTCCTTCCATTCCTTCCAACACCCTTACCACACAGGAAGAGGGCCCGCCGGGTTTTCAGACCGACTGTCTCGCGTACGAAATATCCACGACTACGCAGTAAACTCCGTGGACCGTACCCGCAGAACAGGCTCGCCAGGTTGCACCCTCAGTCTCCCACTCCCTCACAATGAGACTAGTCGACCTCTCAGTTCTAGCGCACCCACTAGAAGTGGCTCTGGTGGACATGTCGCGGCCGAGTTAACCACACCTTCTTGGCTCCCATCCCCACAGTTGCATTTCTACTGGCAATCACGGATCACCACCTGGCGCCTGAACAGAGTCAACGTTTTTCAACGGGCCACTCAGCGGTCAGAATCGCGGCAGCCTCAGAATTCCAGCCACAAAATCGACAAGCACGCCAACCTCTATGCGAGATGATGCTAGCCCACATACGGCAAGGTACTAACCGGTCCAACTTTCTAAAATTGTATCACGGCCCTCTTTCACATTTTTCCCTCTTCCCTGCTGCTGCGAAGGAATGGCGAGAGAAAGATGGGGAAGAGTGATAGCATCGAGAGTCAGTCACCTTCAGTCTCTAGAAAGGTCTCGAGGGACCAAATTGTGGCTTCCATTGTCTGAGACACGAGAGCGGCCCGTTCTCAACAAAGGCTTTCTTCTTGGTTAAGTAGGTATGCCAGCGGCGATATTTCGAATAAGAGCGGAGTCATGGCCGTTGATTTGCGATCGAACCACATTCGTTCGTACAGTGCTGCTACTTGCTCAAAGATCAGCGGACTGGCCTCCAGCAGCCGCCACATGCCATGCATCTCCTCCATGTAGCTCTTGAGTCTCCCCTGGAGGCCGTGATTCGGAGCACATGGCTATCTACGGATATGCTGTCATATTCCTTGGGTTGCATCTGCCAGCTCTGGCTCCCTCTGACGAGCCATCGCGAAGCCTGTCCGCCACGCCGGACTTTGTATGATCGTCGCGGGATCCGGAGAATGATACACGTCCCGCAACGCATGGCCCCTGACAGAAACAAAGATGTTCTCGGGACGCGGCAACCCCATCCCATGTTGCCGCTCTCCGTTGATAGCAGATGCAGTATCATGCAATATCTTCCGGCCAGCCTTACGTGGCGAGCCGTCTCATCTCTCTTGCCGCTGACCGAGCCGTCTTAGTCATTGGACGGTAGTAAGCGAGCGCTACGGGCTTGTATCGCGAATTGTACATTCGATGCATGATGTGCAACAGGGCCCTGTTTCAACGCGAAAGCCTGCAGGACATGACTGACTGCTGATGGAGAATAGCACGGCATGTCTACGCAGTATGAGCCGTACGCCACTATTACCAGCTGCGTGGGATGGACACATGCGGGGGATATCCAAAGCAGGCTATCAGACTGATTCGCGAGCATCTCGGCGCACATCTCCCGGTGGTGTGGGGCCGTGTCCACGCCGACTCGAACAAACTTGAGATGGTGGTCCGAAGTCTGCGGCTGGAATGGCGCAGTAGAGCTGATGTTACAGCTAACGCGCAGAGAAATAAAACAAAATCCCACTCGCTTGCGGATCGATAAGATTCCTGCTTCGTCTCTTCTTTCGGATGCTGACTTTGGACGGGCCATGTGTTTGCCGGGAGGCTGACAAAGACCAAGATAGGATGTCAGCAGTCCGATGTTGAGGCTATGCATGCCGTCTTTACTCTGACACTTTACGGCCGCGGATTCGACTGCGATCCTCCGAGCGCTTGGTGATGATCGATTGCTGAAGTCAACAAGATTTTGGCGCCTTTGGCAAATTGTCCAGGGCCACGAGAATCCGAAATTATTATCAGGTGGACAAAAGATCAAATTTGCCTGCCTACGGCTAGTTGCCCAGTAGTGGCGCAGTCGGCCCAATTTCCTAGGCAGGATTCGGACCATGTCGTAAACTTCAGGACTATCAACTCGTCGACACCAATCTGGAATGGCGGCCGGGTCTACGATTCCTGGGAAGGTCCTAAAGTTGCCAAACACAGCTCACCGCCAAACACCTTGAGATCATCCGAGTGGGCGGATGTCAATACTGGAGAGCGTCGTCAACCCACCACACTGAGTCAGCTGCAGAAGCAAGACGTTGGTGTGCAAGTAGCCTATGGGCATGCCGAGAGGGCTCCCATCAGTGAGCAATGGACAGTGGCTTCGACGATAGGTAGGTCATCTGCAGCTCTCTTGTGGCTTATACTGTGAGCTTATTCGAGTAGCCGATTGACGAGTTTATGGTGCTGACGCTCATGCAGTGCTGACATGCGACTGCGCAGCTTCCATTCTTCCAGATCCTACGTGTAGCCTTGCGGCGTTTCCTGCACTGTCTATCAAAGTATCTCATTGTTGGTCAGACGCTGCTGATATCTCATGGCACAATGCAACGCTTTGCCTCGGTGACGATCAGCCCTACCTTGCAGAAACACGGCAACATAAGGGTTTGAGTTGCCGCAACGCAGCGAACAAACTCGATTCACGGTTTAATAATCATAGCAAGATATAGTCTCCGCTCAAGGCATGACGATAGAAGCGTCCATCGTCTCACACTTGGGTCAACACCTCAGCTTTGCGAGACCCTCCGTCTCGGTCTGAAACGGATCGAAACATGTCCAACCGTAACAAATCCCACGCTGGGGGTTGCACTCGTCGCGAAGACCCGAATGGCACCGGGTGCCGGCGACTCAGGCATGGATCATGCACTGTTCAGCGATGGCACGATGGAAAGTTCCAAGGGAGTCTCCGTTTCGATTAGTTTGAAACGGACTCTTATCAAATTACATGTCGATCGGAGGCAAGCAGTAGGGGTTCTCCCCGATTGCTTTCTCCGCATCGCCGTCTCCGCCTCCGCATCTCCCCTTTTTCCCTCCCCCGCCCGACGGTGTTGGTCCCGGCGGTGCACCGTGCCCGGCCGCCGGTGTTGCAGTCTCCACCTCATTCGGGGGAAATGGAGGAAGGGAAAAGCCAAAAAAACGGCGACATGACATCATCCCTGCAACACCCCCACCTGCTGCATCCAACAGCCCAACTACCAACCTTTTCCGACGTCACTGGGCATCTTTTGATGTTTTGGACGTCTTGTTCAAACCTGTTCCAGCGACTACAGCAGTGAAAAGTTTGAGACAACGATTCATTGCAATGCAAAGATTGTGCCAACTCAAGTACCAACCGCGTCCACGAATCTCGTTCGTTGCACAGTTTTGTTTCTTGGATGTAGTTCGCCTCAATGAACTAATACGCGAGAGACAAGACAGAGACATTACGTTTCGACCAACCTCCCACTACGCGGCAAAGGATCCACTGACTCCTTCGCTTCCAACCTCCTCTTGCATTCTTTTCTCTCTCGCGCCTGGCTACTCGCAATTCAAGATTGCTTCTGCTGCTTCGACTAGTCTCATTCGCTCCTGCACAAAAGCCTACCTAAGGGACATAGGAATGAATACCTATCCGTAGTACCGACCTTGTTCCCGACGCCACATGTACATGCGTGCCACAGTGTAACAGTATCACGGCATCAGAGCCCGGACTTGCACTGCGCAGATGGCATATTGTCAAACTTGGACGGGATGTTACTTTTTGGAGTAGCGCAACTCTTTTTTTTCCCTTCCTGCCGTCGATCGACGGTAGTTGAGGAACCCTGGCTATGCTCTCAGCCTGCTGCTGCTGTTGCGTACTCAACTGCAGTCTGCTGCGTACCGGTAGTAGTTTGGCAGAAACGTGTGTTTGGGTCGGGCTGCGTGGGGACACTGCACCGTGACGTCGCTTATCGCTGGACGCCCCCCCCCCCCTCCCCTCTTCCATTACGATTCATCATGCCCTACTACCACCCTTCCAACCTTCTTCGACTTTGTAGAATCACCGTGCATGATTTTGTCCACATTATTGGAAAACCAGGGTTCTTTGCGAATGAGGCTTGATAGCGTCATATAGCCTTTCTTGCCAGCTGTGCATGGCAGCATGGGTAGCCATGGTTCGTTGCGTGCCGCATCTTGGTTCGGGGTTCGCGAGCCGGAGGATGCAGGGTCTAGCAAGTTGGCCTCGCGATTGTATTTGGAGATGGAACTAGTTGACCTAGAATTGGTAGATCTAGAGGGGTTCTACGTATGCCATGCGTAGCGTTCCTGGTTTTTTTTTCGTTTCTTCCCTATTCTAAACCATAGCCTTCTTGCCAGAACGAGGGGCCGGATTGTCAGAGACCCTGGCAAGCAATCGGTAAGCAGGCACGCCCGTCCGCATGCTGTGTTCAAGTTCCCCTATACGCCCTCCTCACACCTGCAGGTAAGCCCATCATCGCGGGAGGATGTACGATGCCGCATGGGTGGTTTGTTGTTTTTGGATAGGACGATGAGGTCACACAGTATTGCGCACAACTTAGGCATGTACCTGCCTCTTTGCAAAATCCGCTTCTCTCAAGTGTTGCATTTTGAAGGGGAGTATGTGGTAGTAGAATCATGGCTTTCGCGTATCGTGCATTGTTGGGCTGGTGACGGAAGTATCGGGTGATAGAAAGGATCCCTGACGAAGGAGATGCGTTTCCCTTGGCGTGGGTGTATTGCCTGGACTGGACCCTGGTGCTCGACCTGAGCATTTTTTTTACACGTGGGTTTACAAGTCTGGATTCTGGTTTGCTTCAGAGTAAGGTAGGTAGATGGGTAGGTAGGCACGTTAGGTTCAAAGAGGAAGAGAGAAGAAACTACGAGTCAAACGAGAGACTTCGGGGAATTAAGCGGCGACTTAATCTTTTAATTTCAAACGCGCTAGTGATGAGGCGAGCCCTTCGCCCTGCGGCTGAAAAGAACGTTGGGTTTGGGTTGTTTTGTTTGAGACTTTACCTGTGGGAGTACAAGACTTTGATATTGCACGAGATGGTTTCTTTGTTGATTTGGTCTGGGGCTCGGTGGACGCGTTCGAGGTGACAAGCTCGGAGAGCGCGGAGATGGCATGTGTGTAGTTGCTTATTCCTGACGAGCACTAGATAGAGACATTCGGACGGAACATGGAAGAAAGGGGAATAAATAGCGTATGTTAACATGGTAACTGGGGATTGAGAGATATTGGTTTGCTTTTGTTAGAGACGGCTGGGGATGTATGTTTGATGCGTCTCAACACTGTAGCCAGACGAGATATTAGACGCCTGTTAGATGCCTCGGGCATACGGAGTTTGATTCCCAACCGGTATGAAGGTGGCACGCCGACAACTCCATCATGACTTCAAGGTGTTCTAAAGCTGGAAACAACTCGAAAAGGTCATTGTATCCTGCTTTGAAGGAATGAAGTGCAGGGGGCCTGACACATGGCTTAGATGTAACGTACGCATATGCGGCCAAAGGTGGAGGCCTTATTCATACTAGCAACGCAATCGAGCAATCCTATAATTCTCAAGACATTAGTACAGGCTTTCGTGGAGTTTTCTGAGAATCCAAGGCTCGCGGATGAGTATTCCCGAGCGGACTGCGGATTTCATCTTCCCGTTATTCCAGTCTCGCTCCCAACCAGAATCCCAGCGCGAAAGCTGCCCCGGCCCAGTGGAAACCATCTCCAACGGACAAACTGGGCCACATCGATTCGATAGCCAGGTATGCATCCCAGATATTGGCGTGGAGAAGGACTTCGTGATTTATCACGTCAAATAGAAGATTAGGAGAGACGCAGAAGTGTAGCATCCTCAGCGCCGTAATCCAGAGGAGTCTGTTTGGCAGTGAAAGAACCGTGCCTCCGTAGACGCCTCACCAAGTACTGAGCTTCTTCCGCATCACAAGAAATCGGCTATGCGTGTCATGGTGGGAGGGGTTCTGCTGGTCAGTCTTCGTAGGAGATGGGGTGTGTGGTTGTGTACAGGCCCGTATCACGCAGTCCTAGAGACCATGGTAGGATATGCCATCGCACGCTGCAGAAGCTTACTACAACGAAGGCACATCTTATCGTCAGTGATGCTTGACAATGTATAGGAACCGAGCATGTTAGTATGCTGGCGGGTCGTATACGGGTGGAGCATGTGCCGACAGTTGCCGATAGGTATAAAACGCGAAGGAAAATATACACTGATGAGATTTACGTACGCGTGTAAAAATCGTATTATCTGATCTGCTCGCTATTATGGTCCCTTAAGTCGACACCCGAATCGTCAAAGGAGATGGCAGTACCTCGGAAGCCGTCATCGGATACGCTAGAAGTTATCGTGGTCTTCTTAAATACCTTCTTCACGTATTCGGCACCGGGCGGTACCTGTTTGGAGTCCTTGTATATAAGGTACAGTATACGTGTTGAATGACGACGGGCAACTGGACGGGACTGCTTACTTTGAACAAGCCACAGTCGACACTGACATTCTCTCTGAAAATCCCTCGGTCTCCCCCTTCCATATGGAGCAAGTCACCGTCACGCCGTCGCGTCTCCCATCGCGATCAACGCAAGACCAGACGGCGACTGGATATGGATGCTGCACTCCGCGGTATACAAGGTCACTGGCGCAATATTCGCATGGATAAACGGATTCCCCGTGCAGGTCGTCAAGCCTCTTCTTGGGCTTCTGAAAGCGCACAATACATACTACCGGTGAGGTGACGTTACTATATGGCACTGCTTGTTTTGCCCTGCAGAATCTCAAACATGTCACCATGGAACTAGCAGAGCTCGAGTTTCCCACCGACGTTCGCGATATGGTCTGGAACAAGGCGGCTACAAGTCATGTTGCACGCTGAAGGGAGCCGCTGGTCTATGTCACCGACCGTCCAGATACGCCTTAGCCTGCACCTTTCTTTCATCGTAGACTGGTGTTAGTTTTATTTCTCAGCATAGAGTTACCACCAGTCCAGTCAAATCAGGAGAGGCTTCGCTGCATTGGGTACGTGAAACGCGAGTTCCGGCCTTGCCTCTGATCGCCTTCTGTCCACTGGCCAGAATAAGGGGCAGTATGGTGTAATCTAGGTCAACAACGCCGGTATGATGGTGCAGTCGATCCACTAATTCTATGATTCTCTATCGTTGAGGAAGAGATTGACATGCTTCCGCCTCAAAGTAAAGTCTGCAGGGGGCTACTTCTTGTATATCTCCCCCGTCAAGACGGCGTTTTCAGGCCTCTAAAGTCTAGAAAAGAAAGCGTCGCTACCAAGGCCATGACCAATCTCTCTGCGCGGCGATGTTACTTTTCCCAACAGGAGAGCCCACTCGTCAGCTCTTCTAATGATGATGGCGTGGATGACTGTGATGATGGATGTCTCCCACAACTAGTCTCATCATGCCATATTCATGGACTGAGCAATATAGCTCCTCTTATTGGACTTTTGCCAACGGAATTTCTTAGAAATTCTTTTGCTTTGCCGTGTTTGTGAGGAGGTCAGCTTCAGATTGCCCAAAGCTGCTACCTATCTTTCAGAGCGTACACCTAATTGAATAAGTCATATCACGGAAGTCTCCTAAAGGGCGCGGTGACGCTGAGAAGTAGAGTACCGCATGTCCGTAATCGACTCCAGTATCGACCGAAAAAGAAATCTCTGATCGCGGCTACGAAACCATCGTGCTTAATACAAAACTGGGCCAAAGCAGGATCGCCCGTTCCGGACTGCTAGGGGAATTCTTCTCCCCGATCCAGGACTGAATTGACTCTTTAAATGCGTACCATTGGATCATAGACAGCTCTCGTGCTCAGCCCTTTCCAACGGACCAAAATTCACTGCTGAGAGGGAGGAGATTATTGCGATACGTGGCACACTGTGCCACTTATGATGGGCAGAAGTAAGTAACGGCGAGAGAACCCCGTAGCGCCACGAGAGAGAGTCTCTCCAGTATCAAGTCCGGAGAAGTGAGACGCAGAGGTGGACAGCATTCACACGAGCATACTGATGAACCTCTCGACTTGTGATCCGTCAGTGGTCATGGATATATATCTTTCAAAAATAGCTGCAGTACACCAGGAGGCGCATTTAATTGCGAGTCAACCCAATACAACCCATGCCTAATCTTTCACCAAATTCAGAGATCTGTCTCTTTCGAAGAGACATTGCGATGTTCCGACACTAATATCTTTTGAGCGTCAATGAGGAAGTGTATGGACAACGGCCCAGGACGTAGCTGAAGCGTCAGCAATGAAAGTTATTCATGCGAAGCAAGATAATGTACATATATACCAATAGTATCGCAGCTGGTTATCAGGAACTAATAGTTCTCTTTGGGTGGGGATTTGGAGGAAAAGAACTGCCTGGCTGCCTAGACCCAGCGTTGGCCTTCTCCTATAGTCTTGGCTCTGACGCAAGTTAAAAGGCTTCGTGAAGCCTGCCTGCCTAAGTGTATACGAGAGGACAGCAGCAGTATCGAGCTCGTATTCGATGGTTGGATCATAGTTAAGATCCAAGCCCAACAGAGTCCAGCCAAGACTTCATGGACGTAACGACGACGACCTTGCATTACACCAACCTCCATCACAGGACCCTCGATGACGCTTTCGTATTACAGAAGAAATACAAAAAAAGTGCTGCCAAGCGCGTACAGACAGTAGAAGGGGGCCGCCGAGTCTGATTCTCTACCTATCGAGTTCCTGTTTGCCACAGCTGCGCGTTTAGCATAGGTGACTTTGGCGAACCTGCAAGGAGGGAAAGGCATGGCCGAAAGAGTTTCGATGGACGATATCACTCTCGCCTCTGGTCGTCACATGTGCTCAACCAGGTCCGGAAAGGACACTTTTATACCAGCGGAGAGTCATATTGATGATTTCATTCAATGCGGAGTACTTACCAGAAGGATGAAGACGCTACTGATTGGCTATATTGAGATCGATACTGTGACAGAGCGCAAGTAGAGAGGCGTCTATGTGGCCTTTCCAGGGGGTTTACTCAATGGCCACAACTTCCAGCTGGGAGCTTCTCAAGATCCTCCAGCTTGACGTTGGTAACAAGAACATTGTTTCAAACAGACTCTGTCAAAGTATATGGGACATCTACCATGAGAAGGATCATTTACCAAGAGTACAATTCTAGCTCTCCCATTCACAAAAAGAAAAGCCCAATTCTGCCAGGACCTTCTGACCAAACAGTCTAAACACACACTCTCCCTCTACCTTATCCAGTCCAGAGGCAATGTGACTTTTACAAAAAACAAAGGACGCCCGCCGTATATCTATCTTGATCAAGCGAAGAAGTGTAGGAAAGCAAAGCTGAATAGGGTTCTCGATACACATCTTGCGAAGCGTATGGTCTTCCTTCGCCTTGACCATCTCAGGGCAACATGGGAAACAGCTTTGATGCCGTCGATGAGCGGTCCCGTACCGTCCGCCTACTTGAACAGAGAAAGATCGCAACTCGGGATCTCCAGCATGGCCTCGGAGAGACGCATACTCATCCTAGGACATTATCACTCCCAGTGCCCCGAGTACATCATCAACAATCCCACTCAGCACCTGATCAACATCACGAAGCATCGGCCAAACACAAACATGACGGAAAATAAAAGTATTTTGAAATTCCACCCCCATCTACTCCGTAAGCAAACCATCTGGGTATTGTCTCGTCACAAACGGATTGTGACGCAAAGCATCCTAACTATCCCGAATTTCCATCTCGCAAAACAAGAAAACGAGGGGGGAAAAAAGAAAGAAGAAAAGGACAAATTCTTTTTTTGGTCGGAAGCCTGGGGATAACCCTCTCTGTCGGCATCTCCCTCTCTCCGTAGCAATCCCAGATCCCAAATCCCTGTCCAAACCTCCCGTCATTAACACGTCTCTCTGTACTTTGTTCATTTTAGGTCTGCCCTCGCGTCCTGCCCTTTCCTGAGGGGAACATTCCGTCGGTGAATGTGTCATCCACCGCGCTGCCATTTCTGGTCATCCGCCACCATAAATCACCGCCAGAGATCATTCGACTTCTTCTCATTATTCGCCGTGCTGGGCCTCGGCCACAGATCCTCGTCACTTCCCCTGCTGCCACCGGTGCTCTGGCTCGGGATGGCCATGAACATACCCGCGCCGTTGCCCACCATGACACTCTTCCTCGCCGCCGCCGTGTTCCAGCCTGATCCCGCGATATCGGCTCCAAGACCGTAGGAACTAATTGGCCGGTCGCCGTGAATGCTCATGCTTCCTCGATGGCGAGATCCGCCACCTAGTGCTGCCGTAGGCTGAAGCATCACTGACGACCAGTCCAGAGCATCGTCCGCCTTGCAGTAGATTGTGAGAGGGTGTGAGAGTGGGCCGGTACCGGCAAAAGGATTCGTTGAGCTGAAGCGCTGCGAGGCGCGCACTTGAGAAGCCCCCGCGAAAGGTCGAGGGATCGCCATGCCGGCGCTGCTGGGCGGCGCGAGACCGCCGCGACCACCGCTGCCGGGGCCCAGACCGGACATTGGCCGGTTGGCTCCGGGCGTGTGCGAAGATTTTGGACGAGCGTTGGCGCCGTAGGAGGAAAACGCCGCGGCGGGACGGGGCAGACCCTCGAGCTCGTCTTGGAAGAACTCGTCCAGCACGTAGACTGACCGCAAGTTGGGCATGCCGTTGCCTCTGAGCGATGCGGCCAAATAAGTGTAGTAACTAGCTGTGACACTGGAGTAAGGGCCCGCAGACTTGGAAGCCGTGATTTCGAAACGTAGCGACTCGAGAGAGACCGACGCGAGCCTACGCGTCCGGGGTCCACTCTTGAAAGCGTCGCTTACTGAGGCCTCGATGGCCAGGGTCTGCAGGTTTGTGCCCGCAGACAAGATGTCAGCGAGTGTCGCCGGGTGAACGCCCGTCTTGAGGAGGGACAAGACGAGGAGGTGGTTGCGGGTATCAGCCCGGCTCAGGTAGTCCACCAAACCTTGGGCGGTGACGGCTGGAGTATTGCTTAGGACCAGCTCCTCGAGGGGCGGGAACGGAGGCAATTCTTCACTGCGGGCAAAGATATCGTCCGAGAAGGCTTGTGACTCCATGACCTTTAGCGCGCGGAGCTTCCGCAGGTTGGCCAGAGCATGCCGCAGCACGATGGGATCCATGTTGATCTTGATCAGCTCCAGGACCTCGAGATTCTGCCAGATACCGCCGTGCGCTAGCTTGGACAAGCTGTTCTCAGCGCCTGCGCGGTACGTCATCTTGCGGAGGTCTCGGCATCTAGCCTCAACCTCGAGCCTCAACGTGGCGTAGCCATGCTCATCGGCGAAGAGGCCTTCGGGTAGGTCCACGTAGACGATGTTGGGGAGAACGTGGATAATGCGGGCAAGGTCGGCTGTGGCGGCTTCGCGGAGCATATAGGGGACCTTGAAGTATCGGACTCTTGAGCCAAAGCGTGTAGGATCCTCGCGCAAGGTTCTGCAGAGCAGCTTCAGACGGGCGGTGGGGGTATCTTCGGGATCGGCGTTGCGCTTGAAGAAGGTCTTGCGCTTGCGCTGCTCTGACAGATAGATCTCGCGGGGGCAATAGTGGACGGCGTCGATTCGGATGCTGTGGTACCTAGAACGAAAGATGGTCAGCACGGCTTTTGCTACAGGGGGAAACGAAAGAAGAGAACATACAGCAGGGCATTGGCCGCTTGGTTCCATTTCCAGCAGACGCGCGCGCAGTGGGCGAGGTCTCTTAGGTCGCATAGCATGCATGCGTCAAAGATGGCGCTCGTCTCGCACGTCTCGTAGGTCTCATCTTGGGTGTGGGGGCACACGAATGAGAATATTCGCGGGAGGATTTCCTTTGGCAGGCTCTGGAAAAGGGCGGCGGATGCTCGCGTGGGGATGTGAGCGCCGGGCGGGGAGGCGACGTTGCGGAAGTTCTGCTGGACCTGGGAAGAGTACTTTGACAGCTGGGAGTCTGTGAATTCGTGGGACTTTGACTGCTGGTGACCCTTTTGCTGCTTCTTCTTGTCCTTATCCCTGCGAAAGAACCCCATCTTCTGTAGAGGCCGAACGGCGAGCTGCATGCCAGAAGAACAGAGTCGGGGAGAGGGGGAGGAAGGGAAAAAGGACTTGTCCAAGGTGGTATCAGGGGAATAATATATTAAGGTCGACGGGTCCCGGCGTCGCACTGGCCGATGGGAAGCGGCGTCTGGGTGTGGGTAGGGGGCGGGAGCGTGAGGCTTCTGCAGGTCCAACGCTACGGCGAGCCAAAGTTTGAACGGTGCGAGTGGAGGATTGATTTAGTTAGAATGGCACACGATGGGCGTAGGTAGGTGTTTGTCTGTTGGAGGTGGCCGGCCGCCCTTTGTCAATGTCGCGCTGTCTTGTTCGCTCTCTCGCGCCCAACGACGTATCCGCAAGGTACGAGGGGTCCGGCTATGATTATCTTAATAGAAGTACCTTACGCAGTAGGCAGGAGCATTCGGCAAGGTGGGAAAAGGGCAGCCCTTTCTGCTTTTGGAGAAGTTGCTAACGGTTATGTCTAGGATGGCCTGCCGAGTCAAATCCTCCCAAAGGTCATCCAATGCATTGCGTCCCTTCTCTCGTTAAACTTCAGATGAAATTTCCGCAAACGTGACAGGTTGACAACGGCTGAACTTTTCTTTATTTTTATCCTCTGCCCTCCCCCCACTTGAACACCGAGTATATGATAAGTGAGAAAGAAACACAGCGAGCAACGCATCCAACGACCGTCTAACAAAGACACATCCTCGTTGCGCAACAAAGAGATGCGCCCGCGGGAACCGGCGTCCAGGGGATGTCTTTAGTGGCTCCTTGATGCGTGCTAACGACTAAGAGTGCCCTCCTCGTGCGGCGTGCCTTCAGCGTCTTTTCTCCCCACCCACAGGCGCCCTACATGCGCTAGGGACCCCTGAGTCGACAAACCGCTGGTGTGGGGGAGGAGGACCGCGCCGTCTCTGATTGGCTACTGCTGCCGTCAGCTCAGGGGGTCCGCAATTCCCCCCCCCCTGATCTCTCTACTGCGTAGCCAACACCGAGCACGCATCGATTCACTGATCATCATCGCAACCCTTGGTGCCCAGCCGATCCTCACGTCTCGAAACGAAACAATTTGGCACCACCGGCACCTATGAAATATCGTACGGATCATACTCGATGCATTGCGCCTCCCGCCAGCCGCGGCTGCCACCCAGCTTTCATCTTTTCATGTCCAATCGATCCTGATGCACCAAACCAAGAAAATGCCTGATAGACAACACACAATGTCCGAGAACCAATCTAATGCTCAAAATATGCTACTCTGCTCGTACATATCCATACTCGACCCCAATGCCAGCCCGTCATCCTCTCAGTCTTATCCTTGTTGCCGTGCTCCCACCCTTTCCTCCTCATTTCCATTACATCCGTCCATATCCCTATATAAAATCGTGAATCGCGACTCGTCGTCCACCAAACACACATACTGCAAAGTCCGTGCAGGAACAACCAGTAGGCATTCGACAGCATTTTGTACATTTCCCATCCGCTTTCGTTGCTCGTCTCTCAGGCGTGCTTCGTGACTTCTTGGCAATGCGTTTCATGCTTTAGTTGCCATTACCGTTGAGCTGAACTCC